GAGAAAAGTTTTTGTGCTAGCTTCTTATTAAATAATTGGCTATCAATGCGAAAATGGAATCTTTAATATTATCAATTCTTAATAACTCCGTAAAAATGTTACTATAAAACTATTCTATCTCATCCACTAATCATCGCGAAAGAAAAAGTCGAAATCCCACAGAATGTTTTTTGCTATATTGTGTTCTAGAAGGTAAATAACCCTTGTTACCTTATAGGTAAGGTTTGTACGTCTGAGTTGATGCGGGCATAGACATTCCATCAGCCTTAAGAAATTAATTACAAATCGAGTAATGAAATAGCAATTCCAATTGTACCAAACAATTCAGTCTCCGTTACACACATTCTTTTTTTTTGCACAGAAAATCCTTTAAAGCTGGCAAATATAACAAAATGTCTTAAATATATACAATCCATCTTGACCAGAATTTAGGAAAACCAAAAACAGTTTGTTTAAATCGTTCGAATAGTTTAGTTAATTTAACACTTTTACTGCCAACTCAGGAAATATGGTTTTAACGATTATTCGACGGTGTTCTATGAACATTTACATATGGACTTTGTTATTTAAGTCTTGTCCTACTGATACGAGAGGTTGCGATAATCTTCGATCAGCTGCAGTATTCGATATCTCTTTTCTCTCAATGTATGACCCAAGTATGATATTTCCCTATATATACTAGTTTTTAGTAATTCTGTATTCTTGTTAATTCTCCGAAGTCTGTATTATTGTTTGGCATGTAAACAACACAGTGGGAATGAGAAAAGATTTCGTAGCAAAATATGGTTATATTATAGTCAACTTAAGACCAAGAAACAGAGAGTTATAGTAGCTTCATTAACCATCAGGATAACATTTGTAGGCCGTTATTATTTATTTGTTTTGCATTCCTTTCAATTTGTTGCTTTTAGTTTTAACTTGTACATTCCTCTACAGTCTATCTATCTATCTATACAGCCCTTGCTGTTCAATTTTGGACATATGCCTTCTCTTCCTTCTTTCACGTCTCTCTATTGTATCCACTTAGGGCCTGCGTATTTCTTTTGTCATCTGACCATCTTGTTTGTGGCCTTTTTTTTTTCGTTTGTAACTATATGGTCTCCATTGTATAATCTTATTGCATCTGTCGTCTTTCTGTCTTATGGTATGTCCAGCGAACTTCCACTTAAGTTTTGCTATCTGCATTGATCATGGTCATATTTATTTTGTTGCGAATCCAAGTATTTCTTTTCTTGTCTAATAGCCTGATGTTCAGCATTTGCCTTTCCGTAGCTCTTTGGGTCTTTGCTATTTTTCCATGTTTTCCTTTGTAAACGTTTAAGTTTGAGAACTGTAGGTAAGAACAGGAAGTATACATTGGTTGAAGACTCTTGTTTTTAAATATTGGGAGTATTTCTAAAAGAACTAAGTACATGCTAATTACAAAAAGACCACAAAATGTACATCTCAAGTCTGCATATCTCAAGTGATTCAAGTATTGGCCATTTATCTTAATACCCCGTTTTTTCCATTATAATTTCCTCATAACGTCTTCCAAAGCTTGATTGAATAGTTTGGGTAATATAGTTTCATCCTGTCTGATTCCCCGCTGTATCTTAATAGGCTACGTTTGTTCAACTATTTTAATGGATGTTGTTGCTTGATCATATATATTGGAAATTAAGTCCGTATATCTATGGTCTATTCTCCCATTTTGTAAAGAGTTCTTTCCTGCCCAATGTTACACTTTATCGAATGCTTTTTCAAAGTCTACAAATGCCATTTCAAAGTCTTCTTCTTCTTTGGGTGCCATGTCTGTATTCAGACGTTGGCCGTCATCATGTTTACAATTTTCTGAAACCTTTCTCTATCCGCTGCTGCGCGAAATAATTCTTCTACTGTGGAACCACACCATTGTCTAATATTACGCAACCATGAAAGTTTCTTTCGACCAATCCATCTCTTTCCTTTCACTTTTTCTTGTATTATAAGGCAAAGTAGATGGTATTTAGGTCCTCTAATTATATGGCCGAAGTATTCTGTTTTTCCCCTCTTTATGGTGTTTATGATCAGACGTTCTGAATTGATCATTTGAAGAATATCTTCATTGGAAGTGTGCGAAACCCACGATATCTTTAGGATTCGTCTATAGCACCACAATTCGAATGCTTCTAACTTGTTTAGCATTGTGGTTTTTAACGTCCATGTCTCACAACCATACAATAGGATGGACCACATATAATATTTCAGGACCTTCTTACGAATATTCATCGACAGGTTTCTGTTGCATAAAACTGGTTTCCACGTCATAAAAGCCTTACGCGATATTTCGATCCTGGTTATTATCTCTTCATCAGAGTCACAATTTACATTTTAACCAGCTGCCAAGGTATTTGAAATGATTTACCCTTTCGATCTCCTCTCCATTAAGAGAAATCAGACCTTGATCTATATTGATCTTTCCAGCTGCCATCCACTTTGTCTTTGAAATGCTGATTTTAAGGCCTCTCCGATAACTTGCTTCACCTACTAGATTTGGTTATGTTTCTAGTAATTAATAGTAGTCTACAAATGCCATATACATTGGGATTTGATATTCGTTGGATTTTTCAATTGATATTTTTATCGTACGCAGATGGTAGCTTGTTCTGAATCCTTTTCTAAAACCGGTTTGCTCTCTTGACTGGTAATTGTAACTTAGTTATTAATCTGTTTGTTAGTAGTTTAGTTAACAGTTTGTACATTACATTAAGTGGCGGTATGGGTCTATAGTTTTTCAGATCTTTTTTATCGCCTTTCTTAAATAATAATAGTGTTATTGCCCCTTTCCATGTGGTGGGTATTTGTTTTATGTTCAATATGTTTTTCATTAGTACATAAAGGACTTCGACTGTAGTTTTCCCCCCATTTTTTAGCATTTCCACAGTTATTCCATCTTTTCCAGAAGATTTGTTATTCTTCATTTCTTTGAGTGCCTTTTTTATTTCATTTTTACTGATTACTGATTTCTTGGGTTGGTTTTTGTTCTGTTTTATAGAGATTTGTATAATATTCTTGCGTTATCCGTAAAATTTCTTTTATATTGTTGGTCTCCACTCCTTCTTTGTTCTTTATGCTATTAATTTTATGTTTCCCAGGTTCTACTTTAAGCACTTCATGTTTCTATTTTTTTCTCTATATTTTTTTTCCTGTACTCTCCTTTTACACTCCTTGATATTTTTTTCTAATAGTTTTGTTTATTTCTTTTGTTCATAAGAATCTTTGTTTCCTGGGATATGAAACTTTCTTTTTTTGTTATTGTCTGTGCTATTTCTTTACCCACTTTCATTAGAGTTTCAGTAAATAACATGTTTATTTTGTCGATATGTTTGTGTTCTATATCTGCCTTGGTCGGCAATATTTCCTTTATTCCCCTTCGTACGTCTGTTTTTCTTGTTTTAGTTTTTCCATGTCAAATTTCTGATTATTTTCCATTTTCTTTCTTGTTTCAATTCTACTATCAATGATCAGCTTGGCTCGGACTAGTCTATGGTCGCTACCAGTTGAGAAGCGATTTAGCGCTGTTAATTCATCAAAGTGTGTCCTCTATCATTTCTTTTGCTGTATCCATGGTGTCCTACTTTGTCTTCTTCTTTATATAGTTGTTCTCCTATTTTGGCAGTGAAGTCCCCGATTATTAGCGTTAATTTTGATTTTTTTCTTCCATTACTTCCATTCCTCTACAGTAACAAACTTAAAAAATTGAATTTATTGGTTTTGGTCGTTTAGAAAATTTAGAGTGTGAATCGCAACATTAAGAAATGATCGGTTAATTTTGTTCCCCAAGGCAAGTTCTAATTATATAATATACATCGTTTATGCAGAAAAATTATTTTATTGCATTTAATAAGGTTTTAAAGTTCATGATAAAACAATTAAATTAATTGATTATAATTATCGATGTATTGAAATTTATTTTTCCCACAGTTTGTATTTTATGTATGTGCATATTGTAGTTGCACCTACATAATATATTTAATATATTATCTGCAAGGCATGTCGAATATTGTTTACCATATTAAAGAAATCTGCATTAACCGTATTTGGTTTAATATGTTTAATATCGACGTAGCTGTGACTTAATTATTTAGTATATAAAAATCAAGTAGTACTAATTTTTATTTATAGCTGATTAAAAATAAATATGTTATTGCAACTTCTCCTTCTGTGTAATGAGGCCTGAAATGTAGCAAAAATAGCAGCCGTTCATAGTGTTGGGTTAACGTATGCTTGTGTATTACAACTTTTATGTAATGCACTAGCTTTGCATAAAAGTTATAAAGCATAACAAACTCCTTTATTCTTTTCTGAAAGCTGTCAGTTTTACACCGATGCAGCCAATTTGCTTAATGTACATTTTCCTATTATACTTCTCTCTATCAACTATTATAATCCTGATTGAAGCCATCTCGCATCTCTGATCGTTTCCTCTTAATTGTTATTTATGGATTCAGAAAAGTAACTAATTTCCGCGACCATAATCGCCTCTCAGTTCATTCTCTCCACATTATTCTATTTCCACGAGTTGGGATGAAATGCTGCCAGGCACAACAGCACTGGACACGATGGTATTACACCTCGGGATTAATGAGCACAGTAGTCGCAAAAAATCTCAAGTTTGTTCAAGCAACAAATATACAGTTACTAACATAGTCGCAGCCCCCATGTCACACATCCAGACATGTCTTTACTAGCCATTAAAAATTATATAAAATAAATTAATAACTCGTCATAAAAAATATAGTATAAACTAGGAAATTAATCAAATAAGAAATGTGCATGACCTAATATTTTTGCAAGAAGACATCGCATGAATAATTTATCTTCTCGAAAGCCTGCAACGAATAAGGCTATTTAGGTCTTTTTGAACCACGATATAACGAGATAGTATGTGCAGCAGTGTGCATTTAATATTGAAATAATGTTTATTGATCTTTTCGCGCTATAACTTTTTTGTCATTTCGCATGTTTTTTAATTTCAGAGCATTGTTATGTTGATGTTTCGAGAAGAAAAAAGCCCCGAAGACGAAATTAAGGCCTGGCAATTTTGGCATGGTCGGCAGCATTCGGTGAAACAAAGAATACTAGATGCAGGTTGGTACTACTTTTTAGATTTTAAAATTAATATTTAGATTTACGTTTTCGTGTAGTATGTCCTTATTACCTCAATCTATATGTGAAAAATCATATATTTCATGTAAAAGCAGGTTTTTGAAGGTTCGAAAAGGTATATGAGAGATAGCTGATGACAAATCCGTTACTTACCTAGGCTAAATAATAAATGACAGCAACAACGTCAGTCAAGAAATTGAAGAACGGATTCTTAGCGGTAATAAGTGCTTTTATGCATACAAAGACTAAATAAAAAGTAAGATACTGAATCGTGAGTCTAAGCTTAGAATCTACAAAACAGTAATTAGATGAGTGGTTCCCTTCAATCATTGATGAGAATATTTGAGCGTAAAATATTGAGAAATATTTTTGGACCAGCCCAGTGTAGCGATGGTTCGTGGTGAATAAAAATTAACTATAAGCTGGGTGAATTAAGACAGAGCGGAGATATTGTTAGATTTGCAAAGTCACAAAGACTAAATTGGTTGGGCCATTTAGAAAGAATGCCGGATAATCGAGCTGTAAAAGTAATCCAGAGATAGAAACTACAATGAAATAGGACCAAAGGAAGGTTCCGTAAAAAGTGGATAGACGATGTAGAGGAATATCTTAAAACCATGTACATCATGGCATTGGCGAAGGAAAGTATGAAGAAATAGAAGAACGGTGTTAAGCAGGCCGGGTTTTGGCTTGCTTAACACCGTTCTTCTAATGGCACTTAGTGCCATTAGCAGAAGATCTCTCATACCTTTTAGAACCTTCAAAAACCTGTATAAGATTTTCTCAGCTGTTTTTCCTTAACAGAAGTTTTTGATAATATTACAAATAAACTTTTTATCGAATCATGCGAGTTCGTATAGGGGTATATAAAACTAGCACAACCCGAACCCTGTCTAACACGAAGTATTATATTATATGGTGGAAATTTTGGTGATCGTCTGCCTATTGTAAAGTAAAGAAATTATGTTTATACCGGAAAATTAATTAAGACCAAGCGATTATGTTTTTCATAGGGTTCACCGTATTACGGCCGCTCCGTGGATAACAGATTAGAAGGAAAATTGGCATATGCTTAGGAATTATCTTCAGCTTCAGTGGGTATTATTTGTTCTTAAGTACATCCACTTTCATTTATTCTTTATCTACAAATATTTTGCGGAAGCTTTTGCTCTTTTCCATGATTCATATTGATCTATCATATTTAATACCATATTTTTTTGTCATGTCATATGTTCGGCTTTATTAGCCTCTGTTAATTTAAAAATGGAGATCATGTCTGAAGTCCAAAACCGTCTAGTTTAACGAAGTAGTAATGTTACTGAGTTCAATCAAAATGTCTATTTTAAGTAAGATCACACACATAAAATAAACGTTTTTTAAGTTTAATCTTTAGTGAAAACATTACTATATAAAACATTGTTCATCTGTATTTCTTTGTGAGTAGGTAGAAATGATTTTATAACTTGCGTAATTTGTTCCACTTCATTTAATAACCTTACATATAATTATTATTCTAATATTGGAATTGGTATTCTTGAGCACTGAATTATAACATAAAATTGTAGGTACATTTTCAGATAAACATATTGTTCGCGAAGGTTTCTCGTGGGTTTTATCGATTATATTTTGTTCTTCAGACGTGTAGGTGTTATGTACGAGCATAATGATATTTGACGAAAATTTATACATGTATTATAATGTAGATTAAAATGCCAGCTACCTGGTGCGTCACCTTATATTTCTTCGGTTCTAACAATTATGAAAACTTTCGAATATACCCATTAATTCCCGTATCGTTATCATCAAAATTTGAGAATGTAATCTAGAATTAATTATAAGACAGAAACACTCCAAAGTTTAGGTTGATGGTGACTTATTTGTAAGATACAGAGAGATAAATCGTATAATAGAATACTTTCATAATCTCACTCTGTTGCTAAAGTAGTAATCGCACCACTTTCCACAAAATTGTTTGCGTATTTAAATAACGTACTGGGAAGTGCATATATTTAAAAATTCATATCGGTTTTCACTTCATACTTCTTATTTATATTGCATTTCCAATACAAAATCCCTAATTAAAATCCATATTTTTATATGAGATAAGTAGTTCAAATGTAAATCATCCGAGTCCCAATCCTCTTCAGGTATTCTTTCATAATCCCCCTCACAGCACGCTGATGCGATATGAGTGGCTTCTATCATAATATTGCCTGTCATGTGAGAGTCTTGGAAAACGAGACTCACACTTGACATCTCCTCCGCGTGAAGTACAGGACAGCGTGAGACGATTTAGTCCCGTGGTCTTCTTTTTCTTGTCGTCTTTATTTGTTTTCTGTCTCCGAGCATCCAGCTTCCATAAGCCTACCAGTGCCTTTCTGCTGAGCAGACTCCGAATCTCAACTCTCAGATGGCCGCTCTAGCCCAATTTTTTAATGTTTTGTTAGTACTTTTGTTGGTTGGTATATGCCATATGGCATTTTATTGGGATGAGTATCGGTTGAGGATGAGAATTAGTCGAGCGTTGTAGATACTATCTATTTTTAGTCATTACCAAGCAGTTGCTGTTTGGGTCGTCTTCTATGTTTCCATCGAGTGAAGATATCATTCCTTATGATCTCCCGCAGGATGTGGTTGGGATGGTCCATTAGTTCAGCGAATTTTATTCTTGCTTTATTGTCCATATGTTTCAGTACTCTGATCTTTTGGGTGTCTCTGAAAAGGAATATTTCCTGTACGTATCGATGGACGTTCGCTGCTTCTTATAGTAGTCCGTTGTCGACAGCTTGAATCTTCTTTCAGTTCGTCTCGCAGTAATGTCCCCATGCGATAGATGCTTATGTTAGGATGGGCTGTATAATGCTGTTGATCAGCCGTGTCTTTGTTCTAAATTTTAATTTGCTTTTTCTCCCAGTTAGGCTTCTAATTGGCTTCAACCATTTTCACATTCTGTACCGTTCTTATAACATGGGATGTTACAGTTATTCTATGATGTTTCGTGTCAACATATTTGCGTCTTTATCTAAGTATCTTTTTTAATTGGTTTTTCCTTTTATGTACTAGGCTTTTTCTTCTTTTTTATTTCTTCCCGTATTTTGATTACTACCATGTAATGGTCGCTTCATATTTTGGGTCCTCTTTGTACTTTTGTATCCATTACTTTTCTTCTATCATCGATTTCAACTATACTACGTTCCACGTTTAGAAAATAACATTGCGGAGATAGGGCCATGTATTTCTTATGGACGATAGCAACGCGGCGTTGCCACGACACACACAAGCACAATTTAGGGATGTATAATTTGCAATTTCGTTTCCACAAACATGAATTAAATTAATGTTTTTTAACGTATTGGCCAAAAGTGCCCAGTCGAAACAAGAGATGAAAAGTAGGGAAAATGATTTTAATTAGATAAATAGTATTTACAAAAGATAATTATATTTTATCTTATTTTAATTATAGTAACGACAGTTTATTTGTTTTTCGGTGAGAATACGATATGCCATGAATCATAGAAATCAGTAGAAAATATTGACCGCTTGGAATGCGTATATCTAATTACTAATTGCAACTTAAAATAATAGGATGTGCGTATGTCAGCTATTTTATGTCGTTCTCTGACTACATAATGATAATAAGGCCTTTATTTAGTAGTTATTATGACTTTACAGTTAAATGTTAATTGAAAATGAAAATTCAAAATTAAGCAAAGGGAATATCTTGGAAATCCGTGCGAAAGAGAGTGTCTGAGAGTTTTGGCAACACTGATCTCCATAAGCGTAATGTTATTTTCTTAACTTGAAACAAAGAATAGTATATAGTCAGGGATCTAAAAAAAATGTATTAGTTATTGTCATATTGTTTAAAGTGTTAGAAATCTCCTTACATTATTATTTCTGGTCATTTCTTTATATGGTTCAATTCAATTCTATTAATCCTGTCTTTTTAACAAGAGATGCGTTTAAGTTAATTAGCCATTAAAATTTATTTTTGTTTTAATATATCCTATTTTATATGACTTTTTGTACACATAGACAACGTCGCAATCAGGTTTGACGCAGTTTTAGTGTTGTATCACAGTTGTCTATTTAACTTATATAAATATTACGTTTTCGGAATTATTGTCCAAGTCCCCGTTTTTTGAGTTGTTTATAGACGGAGAATAAAACGAAGTTTCTTTAAACAACGTAAGGTTGCCGACCTCTATATTAGTGTACGCATTATTAGTCCACCTTCGTAATTTCTTAAGATTTGTAAAAGGAGTTATTAATTTACTTTACTAACTATCACATAGAATTGAAGAACCAGAAAATAAAATTAGTAAACTTAAGAACTTTGTTTATTGTTTGAAGATATTTTAAATCATTTTTATTTACATGCGTCTTCCTCGCCTAAATTTAGGGGTAAGTTAATCAATGTTTTTTTTGCTTGTGATTTTATTGCACTGTTAGGAGTTTCACCTCGTGTTTTTTATGTTAACACTTATTAGAAGTCTGAATATTTGTACTCGTATTTAACACACCAATAATTGTATGATAAAAATAAAGATACCTATATAATAACAGAATATATTTCTACTCTACATGCTATACATGATAACTGTTTCATCCAAATGAAACATTCCTAATACATCAAATTAGGAATGAATGAATGAATGATTCAGTAAGGAAATTTTCTTAGCACGTATTATAAATTACATTTAGGGCTGCTGTTGTAATACATCCAAAAATACGATTATATTGTTTCTCTATGTCATGGGAAGGTCAAATTGTCAAAAATATCATCACAATTTAATCAAATTAATGGCTGAAAACACTTTAGTCATTTGCACATTTAGAATGTTTATAATTATAAATCAACAACTGAAGAATCTCCATAGCAAAAGAAACTAGGTTTCTTGGTATTTTATCTAGAAACAAATTTATCTTAATTAACATGAAAAAACCCATAAATTTGGCCATTAAAGAAGAAGAATTTAACTAAAAATGTACGAAAAAACATTTTTATGTATTGTAAAACAATCTTAACCAACTAACATCGAATAAAGAAAGGAACATAGAACATTTATAAAGCAGCTGAATTAGAAGGAAATTTGAAGAACGTATAGAAATAATAGCTTATATCAATGCTTTTAGAAAACAATTATCGCTTAAATTGCAACTGCATTGCTGTCGCACCACTGGTAAATAATTATTCTCTTGTACTGAAACAAAAATGTAATGCACTGGCTGCATTATCAAGTTTTAGTAATTAAATAATGTAATCAAACTCTGAATTGCATGGAATAATGACTTTTGTATGTACATACAATTTGTAAAGTTTATTAACATATTCATATGCACTTTAATGCTTGTCTTTCTAGTGTTTCCACAAGTTATGTTTCAAAAAGTTATACAGGAATCAGAATTGTCCAATACAATCTATAAATAAACAATTTAATAACAAAGGCTAAAAGTCTCAGTCTCAAAATTAAGAAAAAAATTTAAAGCCACTGCATCTTGTAGCTTCATATTCATAAGCATACTTTTATGCGTGCACGAGAAATTTTCTTTTCATGCCAAACGTGCAAATATGTTAAAAGAACCAAGTTTGGGCTTGGGATCATTGAATTTTGACAATTTAGTCAAGCACCCACACTGGCTACTTTTTATTTTATCTACAATAGAGACACGGGTAAAAACCTAATCGACTTATAAAGTTCATATCTTGTTCAATATATTCAGTGCAAAGCTAATTGCATGCTTTTGTATATTATTTTCTTTTAATTGTCAACTGCCGGTGCGTTTCGATCAAGTTTAGTCTTCTCACAATTCTTCCTGATGAAAGGTAAACCTTGAAACACGTGTAGAAGAATGGTGAGAGTCGAGTTGAGTCGAAACGCAACCGTCTATATTTATTTTATTTTAATTTCTGTTTTCTTTATTCCTTCGTATACAGTAGAATTACACTGAAACTGTTTCCTTGTCATATTGAAGTTGAGATATATCTGTTTCATTTTCTATGTGTGGTGTAGATTAATATTCAATCCTGTAATGATTACAAGAAGATGCAAGTTGATGCTTCTTGAGTTGATCCATGAGTTTTATTTTTTATGAATGAAATTGTTAGTTTCAGAAAGCACATAGTTATTTTTCCGTGTTTGTTAAAACTAAAATATCTTGAGAATATAATTTATCCTAATACTTCAACGTTTTTATTTATTTTAGACACCAAGAATAGCGTAGGCTTAGTTGGTTGCATTGAAGAAATTGCTCATAATGCGATAGCCATATATTGGAACCCTCTGGAAAGCCCAGCAAAGGTATGCACAATATTATTCCTTCAAAATAATTAAATAAAAACACATTTCATTTTTAGATTAATATCGCCGTCCAATGCTTAAGCACAGACTTCAGCAGTCAGAAGGGAGTAAAAGGATTACCGCTCCATTTACAAATAGACACATATGAAGACCCCAGGGATTCGCAAATCTTCCATAGGGGTTATTGCCAAATAAAAGTTTTCTGTGATAAGGTAAATATAAATTCTAATCATAAGGGCCATGCAGTATTGATTTTTTGGTATGTTTAGGGCGCAGAGCGGAAGACAAGAGATGAAGAACGAAGAGCTGCTAAACGTAAAATGACAGCAACAGGGCGGAAAAAGCTTGATGAACTATATCATCCTATGTCTGAGCGATCAGAATTCTATACAATGAGTGATCTCACCAAGCCTCCTGTGTTATTCTCGCCAGCAGAAGACATTGACAAGGTACGTATTATGGATGTTTGTTCTTTAGATCCTTCCTTTTCTATCTCTTTTACCTGAAATCCACGTTATAAATGTTTACATACATAAGTTTATAAATAAAAAAAAAATTAATGGGAAAATCCCAGTAGTTGGCTGTATATCATCGTTTAAAAAAACACAGAAGTTAAAACACTTCACACTTGTATTTTGGTATAAAAACACATAGTTAAAACTTTTTAGTGTCGGAACTCACCTATACCTAGTCACGTTCAGCTGTCTTCTTAAATTAATTATAAATTATATTTCTGTCACCTCAGCCAGTTGGTCTGTTCGTTTAAACTGACAAGTACCACGTGTTAAAAATCGAGCAGGGAGACATGTAGTTCCTAAAGTAATAAATTTTATCCATTGTCGTCGACCTAGTCAAACATAATTAAAATTTGGAATGATGTAAACCCATATATGGAGGTCACAGCCATAACTTTATTGTTAGCTTCAACTACATAAGGCACTGAGGATGATCTGTTCAAATCGAAAACGTTATGCTAGTACATAAATTTTGACGACACTTTTTTTAAGTTTTACTACATATTTCATCTTTTAATGGGCCAGCTTCATTCGAAAGTTAGTTACTATCAGAATGACAATCAATACAACCAGCGCAATTATTACTGGTCTGATGGTATTGATCGGTGGATATTGGTTAAATACTAAAATAAAGAATTATCAACTTACCACAATGGAGATTTAACTATATAAAAATGAATTTGCGAGGAGAAAATGCAGCTTAGGTAGATAAAAGATGCAGAACAACATTTCCTTCCATTATTTAGAAGTGAAGACTAACATGACAGAACGAGGACAGGAACTGACAAATAAAGTTGGTAACGACTTGAGATCTTAGATATTTTATTTATGTCTATGGTATAGAATAGAATGAAGTATAAATTTGAAACAAGTGCAAATTAAATTGGGATTTATACAGAATATTTAGGAGACTGAAAGTTGAGCGCCAACGATTTTTAGAATAAAAATAGTGAAATGAAACAAAAATTTAACAAATGAATAACATCAAAAGAAATTGGAATATCATAATTATTTGAATAAAAATAATAAACATGTGGCGTCTATAATGTTAAGGTTCTAAATGTTGAGAAATAGCTTCTTTCATTTGACAACACGAGTTCTTTGTGATGAATTTTGTAGATGAATTGATCTGGCCAGAAATCTTTTCTTTGATTTGAGTTTTCATGCTTTGAATTAGTGATCATGATTTGAATACCAAGGTTCTTTATTTTCTTTCTTGTTTGCGAAGAAAACTATTTCTGTTTAACAGTTTACCTCTTAGATTCAAACAATGTTTTTTGAAAAACAACCTACGATCTAGCGTCAAATCAAGGGATTTAGGAGAAGCATTTTCAGGTTTTTGGATACTTTTCTAATAGGGTGAAAGGAGTAGACTTGAGTTTTTCTGAGATTTGGCTTAAGCTAGCTAGATTGGGAAGAGGTTTTCACTGTTTTCAAGGCTTCAGTTTGTGTTATTTCTACTCGGGTAAAAGTTTCTTGCTTGCGAAATAATAGCTGTGGAGTCTGCAGAGGTGAAAGTCCTAGTATCTACTAAAACGATCATTGGTGTAAATGTTTACAGTGTTTGTTTCATTACACTGCTTTCACCGAGATTATTCTTCTGTATTCTTCACTTGCTATTCTTTTTATTGAAAGGGACGAAAAATACTGTGTAATATCCCGAACACCTGGCACCTTTCATAATTTTCAGTGTTTGTGATGTACAGGATCTTTCTGGTCTAAAATCGTGTGGTTTTTTAATAAATTTCTCTTCTATTCTCGATAAAAGTCTAATGAGTATCGTTCAAGTATATCGATTGATAGCTTTTGAGATTGTTAGGGTCTTTGCCAGTTTTAAACAACATAATGACTTTGACTTTTATTGCTTTGAGTATATGTATAATTTGGGCACAGCTATTCGTTATCTGGAAAATCTACTCCAATGTGTTTTTTGTCCAAACTTCTTGACTTTAATTAATTACGCGAGTGTCTTCAAGACCAGAAGCTTTATTCAGCTTAATCGTTGAAAGAATGATTGAAAGCTTCGATCAACTGGTTGATTAACATCTCCTCTCATTTTGAGTTATTCTTTTCATTTATTTTTAGATGCGTTGCCATTCTTAAGGAATTGGGAAGCCAATTGGTATGCTGCGACATTTAATAAAGGTTTTGGTAGGCCCAGCGTCTAGTCTAATCCTCTTACCTGTGGGGCTAGGTTAATAAGGGTGTTCTTCCCATATATCCATTGCCTTTCAGGACTTAAGAGATCGGTCTGTCGTTTAATATTCTTTTGCCTTTAGGATCATTGGATAGAACCTCTCATCTGCTCTATCTGCCCTTGATCTTCGAAATTTGTAATTTGTAAAAAGATCGATTGAACTGGTGGGTGAAGGATTAGCCCATTACAACATTGTCCAAGGTAGGCCCGAATAACAATTAGTGCAATTTTTGTGGAGTATCCTTCTTTGTATGCTATTTTGGCGAACACGGTACTTTAAAAATATATCCGTTTAATTTTGACCAAACTATTTAGCTATGTTTTATTAATGTTCTACTTTTAATTTCAGCTAACGTCAATGGAACTGCAGGGGTTTTACTCTCAGGAAGATGGTTCTCTTAGCGGTCCAGTAGATCACGTGAAGACTGGATCTCCGTTTCTTCTACACCCTGCTTCGAAACCTCCCATAACTCCTACTCTAAAATTTCACAACCATTTCCCCCCTGACGCTGACAAAAAGGAAACTATGTTAGATAGTAGTTTATCCTCAGAGGGCAACGTCTTCTCCCCTCCAATAAAAAGGACAAAGTTAATGGCCGGACCAGGCTCAGGACCTCCCCCTTTGAGCGAGAGAGTTATGTTATATGTACGTCAAGAAAATGAAGATGTTTATACACCGTTACATGTAGTTCCTCCTACCACAGCAGGACTTCTAAACGCAGTAAGTTTTAGAGCCTTAATGAAACTTTAAGAGCCTTAAAGAAAATTGATAAATGAACAGCTTAGTATTTAAAAAAACAATAAACTATACGCTAAACTCTAATACTCTAAATTCTAATAATTAGCGGCTAACTTATGAAAAAGAAATTATTAGAAATCGAACTGATAGACGCAAAAATGAATATCTGACAGTAAATAAAAGATTAAGTGATATTAGTAGAATATTATCAAAAGTGGCAAATATAGTTATGAAGAATGGGTTTTAACTATTAACCTGGCCAAATCTAATCATCTTTACTTAGTAGTAACCATGGAATTCGAATATGCTAGACACAATAGGTCACAGAAAACGAAGCATAAGAAGTTAAACAGTTTATGTTGTTTTTTTCTTTGAGTTCCGTCTGTTATAAATCGGACACCAATTGGCCTATTGTACATCAGTATATGCTATACTCGAAAGATATTAAAAACACTCAAAAGAAAAATAAAACTCGTAATATGTTGTAGCGAATTGTGAGTAAAGATACACCCTACTATACATAAGAACGTACAATAGGAAATACGACTATAAAAGAAATAATTAAAGAGAAGTTATAATCCAAGACCTATGTCATTTACCGCATATTTTAATAATGCATGTCCTTGAACCAACAGGTTTAGCGAATGGTATATTGATAATTTAGATAAAAATGATCTAAACTGAACTTTTCATCATTGTCAATCATGCTGTTTCTTAAAGTTTCATGAATAACGCTTAGCTTTAATTGCTTCAAGGGTTTCCAGCAAAAAGTTAATAAAACAAAGGGTGTAAAATTTCAAAAGACATCTTAGATAAAATATAACTGATTCACTAACATTTAACCAACAATTTAATTTTGTCACTATGTTCAATAAAAAACATAAATTAATTTAAAAAATAGAGGGCCGTGTAGTAGATTTTACATGATATATAGTAATGTTACTTGCTGATATTTTCTTCCTTGCTGATAGGTTTACCTAAAAGTATTCAATAAAAGTTTTTCCAATCAATCAAGTTATTATATATGTTAATCAGGAATACAGCGTAACAATCATTAATTAAAAACGACCTACAATTATTTTTAAATAGTCTATTTTTCCTCAGATTTTAAGACCGCACATTTTAACTTAATTAATTCTGAAATTTTAGTGGGATGAGAATGAAATCATAAACAAAAACAACAGTAACCTTGTATACACTAGTGGCTAAAATTTTAGTTTTGTTAGCAACATTCCTCCTTTACACACGACTTTCAGACGCCACTAGACAGTCTGCTGCAAGAAGTTCCTCGTAGACATAATACAACCTCTAGCACACAATACAGTAAGCTGCAATAACAATTCACAATAATTATTACAAAAACTAGCAGAAATATATTACAATTACACAACATGCTAGTCAATTTTGATATCACTAGCCAATGTGCCATAAGAGAAAACTTTATAAATAATAAGAATTAAATTAGAAAGAAACGATACATTGACATCAAAAACCAAACTAAATGTGTCAGGTATTATAGAGCTATTAACACTTTGCACCCACATTACTTATTTTTAACTGGATTAATTATTATGATTTCTATAATCAAAACTTGGGATTAGCTCTGGGCTCATGTTTATCTCCATTATTAGAAGATATATTCATGAAAACATTTTACACAAACAATCCACAGTATGGTGGAGATATGTAGATGATGTGTTCTCTTCCTTTTCTGGATGTGCTAGTCAGAAAAGAGGATACATGATATGCAGCCGAAGTTTACAGAAAACCAACACAGACCAACAGACATTTAAATTACTTCTTAGATCACAATGTAAACATCAAAAAAGAAATCATCAAATCATTATATGGTAGGACCCAAAACACCTGCTCTAATGAAAACGTAATCCAAGAAGAAAAAACCTGCTAGCAATTAATTGTTTTAGAAAAAATTACTAGCCACTGTCATTTATCAACGAGGAATTCCACAATTTCGGAGTGGAAATCGAAACGTGAAATTTTTGTTGTCAAATAAATTATCAAATATTGACTTTAGTTCAAATAATATTTTAGTAGTTTTGACATAAATAGTTTATTTACAAATGTGCCATTAGATACGAGTTTGAATATAGTCAAGACAAAATTAAAGAGTAATAATACATTGGCAACTAGAACAAGACTAAAGACATCAGATATAATGGAATTTATCTCCATTATTAGCCGACATATGTATGGAAGATTTTGACACGAATATTATTTCTAAACAAAATTTAAAATCCACAGTATGGTGGAGATATGTAAATGATGTATTCCTAATATACACGTTCCTGAATGATATAAACGATAAAGAAGAAACAATATAATTTACCATGAAAAGAAATATAATAACACACTACCTTTCCTGGATGTTTTAATCTTTAAGAACTATACTAGATAGGAGACTCAGATGTATAGAAAACCAACACATACCAACAGATATCTAAATTACAAATCAAATCACAATATCAATATTAAAAAAGGAATCATTAAATCCTTATACGATAGGGCCAAAAAAAATTGTTCTAACGAAAATTCGTTCTAGGAGGAAAAACGTTTATCTGTTTTATTAAAGAATTATTTAAAAATGAAATTATCATTACAATCAATTGTGACTCACTCCCATATTATGTAAACACAATATTTAACTTAGATATGACACAAGAAAACAGTTTCAGAAAATGTTTGTAAAGTTTCCAGATTTTGGCCACTAGTGTATTCTTGATTGACTTGAATGATTCCAAAAAAACTTTTATTGAAAGTTTTTTTCGCAAACTGATCAAAAAAGAAAATTAAACAAATTATTAATTTGTTTAATATATTAATAATTAATATAGCACTAATAGAGCAAGTATTTAATAAAAGAGCTAAGAATTTACAAAAAGATAGTTTCAAATAATAAAAATATTTACGTTATGAAAACCAGAATGCTGTTTTTAAAACTTTATCATCGAGATTCGTCAAAATCTTAGGGACATGAAGAAACAAAGCAAAACCACGTTTCTTACTACTTCTCTAACAATTAAGAAAAACAATTGTGAATTCTATTTAGATAATCATATTTTTCTTTTTCCGCTATTTTAATATATTTTATCATCATCTACATTTACTCCATTTATATTTGGACCACTGGTTTGTTTTGATAATTTTTTTGAATTTTCGGGCCCCATAGTTCTTTAGGTTTATTTTTAAAGAGTTTTTCTTCTGGTTCATTTGGTACTATATTTTCATGTTTCTGTACATACCTCTAGTATCCACCTCCACTTGTGTCTTATCTAGATGGATATTTCCATTTTTTATTTTCTATTAAAGTTTCAAAAGGTACATATTTTCTGCTTGAGGATCTGTAGACTTCATGCCATATGGAATCCGTATTAGGTACAGAGCCATACTTACCCAACTTTTTAATATCCTGGCTGATGAACCTAAATATAGTTAGAAAAAAAAAAACGGAACAAAAAGGGAAAAAATAGGAAAAGAAATAGTACGTATACGTACGTATTATTTACGTAATACGTAAGTAACGCAATTGAAGAACTAAAAGGATGTAAATTATGGAACAATGTATCAAGCAGACAAATAGTTGACGAATTTATTAGACGATCATTTAGCGAACCAAAAAGACGTTAGTAACAACTGAACGGTAGAACAAAATAGTGAGCATTACTGTCAGTTAAAAAGAATACAAAATAGACAACGTAATTGGATTAAATAAATGAGGAAATACATAATAAAATAGCTTTGTTAATATTATGATACGAAGAACTGGTGATATACCTAATATCAACGAAGGAACAAAAGAGAATTGAATTTCGTATGTGTGATACTATACTTGGATACTCTATGTTTGAATAATGAACATGATTAATGAGGGTTATGTGTATCTTTTTCGTTTTCGAGACAATTATGATATCAATTTTTAGTGCTTTTTAATTTAACAAATAAAATATCAAGATTTTCTTTTTCGAGAATGGTTGTGTTGAAATGAAAGTACTTTTAGTTAAGAAACAATTTTCAGGTAACTAAGTATATTAATTACTAAACCATTAAATATTAATTTTAAAGAGATATAAAATAGTAATTTAGTAGAATGACATTTTGTGCTGGAAGCCCTGGCCTAATATGCATGGACCTGGATGTACTGGGCTTTTACACTCATCTCATTCCGTTTAAAATAACACTACAAACTAAAACCGGCATGTTTGATTAACATCATGGTAATCATCGACGTGGGAACAGTTCACTTTTGCAGCTCCACGTACTTGTCATTTGCATTTCTAAAGAAAAGCTCAGTACTTCTTCTAAATCTATGCTAAAATTAAGAAAGACAGAAATACATCTACTTTTTCACTAAAAATTAATTCTGTTTTCCTTATTTTGCAGATTGAGAATAAGTACAAAATAAGCCCTTCGAATATTATTAACTTGTATCGCAAAAACAGAAAAGGGTAAGTTTAGATTTTTTGACAAATGTTTGGAGTAGTTGTGAGTAGTGAACTGATCATTAATTGGTGGTATCTTCTAACAGTTCGCATTTTACTAACTACTTACAATGTTTACTTCTAAAAATAGGTTAGGAACGGTATTCTACAGTGTATAACAATCGATATATAGATATAGAGGAAAAAGTAGATGCGGGCACATACGCCATAAGGTAAATAGGAAATCAAGAACCATGTAGCATTCACTAACATTACTTGCAACGGAGAAAATAATAGCCGTGTCTAAGCATCAAGCATGGCTCTCCGTAAATTCAACAAAACGCAGCATATAGTGATGCACCAATGAAGACACCTACATTAATAATGTTTGAGTCCATTGACTACAGCCAGCTAGGATGTTAACAGGCGGGGTAGTGTAGTCCGGTTCCGTTTTTTGTAGGTTTACTCTTTTATGTTTAAATGGTTTTGCTGCTCTTATGTTTTTTGATCACATACATTTTTGGTAAAATAAAATTCTTGGCCGATTCTTTCTCTTGCCCTTTTCCACCTCCTGTCTCCTTTTCTTTCAACGCTTTCTGTTTTCTTCATTTTCCTCTCTTTCTTTCTCCTCCATTTACTACCTAAAATGTATGGTGACAGGTCGCAATTGCTTTTATTTTCGTATTACAGCATCCTTTAATGTGTTTGAGTGATACCATTCTACTGCTTAAAATATTTAGTACTTAAAAATAAAAATTAAATGAAATTTGTGATTCACATGTGTATCATGTCCAAGTATGTTTTTTAAATGGTGTATTCAATTTTTAACTTTCGAATTGTGAAATATTGGGTACTTTTATTTTCCGCTGTTTTAGCTTTGTTTTAATACTTTTCTTGTTCCATAATGTATTGCTTCAGTTCATTCTGCCTTTATGTAGACAATTGTATAATAACATTATATACCATACTACTGTTAGTATTCTTTCTCTCTTGAGTTTTAGGACCATAATATACCGTCAATTAAGTTGGTACTGTCTGATTTATCACGTGTGGTTTAACGGTACCAGAAACACTGTAAATTTGTAGTTATACTCTTATCTACCATTTTATTTTATCGCATATTCTAACATGTTGTTAATTCTGCTACGTAGTATATTATTGCATGTTGTTACTTTATTTTAATAATCTTCTTTACGCTAAATTTTAATTTGCACCATGTCTTGATTTTATTCGTATTTTACAATTGACCATATAGAATATTTATTTACAGTATGTTACTGCTACACCGTGTTAGCAATAATTCTATAATTATAGTAGAAATGTTATAATTACACTTCTTTTTAGATTTTACAATAATCCTTAAATCCACTATAATTATCACAAACCAGATTTTTAGACTGAAAAGGACAAATTTTTGTAATTAATTTCAAAATGTTGACTGTTGATACTCTAGAATAGGTACATTGCAATATAGCGCTCCTAGCGTACAACACATAAATTACTTCAATTTTTTCTCATCTATATATTTTTTTCAAATTTGCAATAATTTTACGGTCCTGCCACAATAGTCCCAATCTTCAGGGTTGCCAACACTGCTGCTTCTTTACCAATGCATGGTACGCACATTCCCTATACTTCTTTGGTGAGAAAATTACACTGCTTATTTATGTTACTTGTTGTTGTATATATAGTTATAATTATGTAAAATATATTTGACATGGATTGATAGATATTCTTCTATACAATTTTTTCGTATTTACTTCCATAGTATGTTTATTTCTAAATACATTTAATGCCAAGTATAAATAAATGATTAACAAACCACGAGAAGAATATTATTCTAATTAAAGGAGCATTATTTTCTTGTGTGATATAATTTGCTTCATTCAGTCAGTTTTCACTGTTTCGTCATTGCTAGTTGATATTGTATGTATATTAATTGTTACATTTTCTTTTCAGAATTATAGCCAAGATTGATGATGATATGGTCGCCTACTACTGCAACGAGGATTATTTTTTAATGGAACTGAAGGCAGTAGATGAAGATCTATATGACTTAACGCTCGTGGAACTGATGAACCACTAACCGCCATTGATATTATAATCAGATTTTGTTGTGATTTGTTTTTTAAACAATGTATTTTTAAGAACGATGTTGATCAAAACTTTATTATTTGTTTATAGTGTCTAGCATGTTGTTTTTACAAGGATTTTTCTTTCATTTTATAATCAAACTAAGTTTTTGTTAGTTTTTGTTTTTATGTTATTAGGGCGTGATTGCGTTCATATTTATAAAATATTAATGTGATCATAAAGATCCAATGTAACTCTAATGTTATCAGGTTTTAATACATGGTGGCAATGTTTTTGTTTCTGAGAATTTAAATACGTTTATTAAGAATTAGCATTTAGGGTTTACATCGATGTATGTATATGACGTGTCACAACGTGCTGCGACTATGTCCATACGAACTCATTAATACATTGTAAATCAAGCATGGTATGTAGATGTTTTACACTATACCCTATATACCTTTTATATTTTAAATATATTTCTAGTTCTTTAAATTCAGAGTAGCCAGTGAAGTGGAACCTCGAGCTGCAACCACGTATACTATGACACAAAAATAGTCCGTTAGATTTCGACTTTATGTCGTCACATAGACACCGCATTCTGTTCTGTTTGTTGTGTTGCATATATATATATATATATATATATATATATATACACATATATATATATACATATATATATATATACATATATAAGGTGGGACATGGTTTCAGCTCGTCGTGACACGATCGGTTATATATATATATATATATATATATATATATATATTATATATATATATATATATATATATATTAATATATATATATATATATATATGTTATATATATATATATATATATATATATATATAAAATATATATATTATATTATGTAGAAAGGTGATCCTTGAAACACTACTTATTTGTGGCTACTTTTGTAAAAAACCTTACGGGTCCTCCCTCGCTCTACATTGGTTATATACTGGGTGGTGAATCGGTAAACGATCCATAGAAAACTCAAAAGGAAATTCTAAACTGTTAAATTCTTGCTTTGCTAATTATTATCCATCATAAGTCATTTAGAGGACTAAAATCTGTATTGAAATCAGCTGGTTTTCATACAGATTTTAGTCTAATTGTTCTACAAATTACACATTCCAAAATTTGGCAAATAAAAATACATTTGCCAGAGTATTGTTGTAGAAGTCAGGCCACACGTAGTGCACTTATAACGGGTTGGCGTTTGATCACAATCGTGTTAAATATTAACAATATTTGAATACTCAGTTGAGGAAGAATCAGCAATAAGGGTGTATTCAAGCAATAGTGCGAGCAGTGCCAGAACTTGATTTAGTGTAAGATATTCTAATAAACCAAGTCCAGGTTGTACAAAAACTCAAAGGATTTTAATATAGTTTGAAAATACTGGGATCGTGATTTTTAATTGTAACTGTAAATTTTTATTATTTAAAGAACGAATAAAAAATAATTTATGATAATTTTTAAACATAAAACTATAACAAATGTTCAACTAATCCGCCATTTTGTACTAAGCAGTATCCCAATCGATTGTAAAATTATGGCTCTCCATTAATTCACATTTTTAATATCTGTAAATTTTTGGGCACAGTAAATGTTGTATTTTAGATGCCCCCAGATAAAATAATCGTTTGGAGTTAAATCTCCCAATCAAATAATTATTAAAACTGTTTTTAAGGAATGCGTTTACCTCTCACTTATTCTGTGCAGGGTATCCATCTATTTGAAACCAAGATTTAAACCATCATCAGGAGTTACTTCTGAAAGTCTCGGTAAAATCTCTTCTTGTAGCAAGTCCAAAAATGTTTCTGAATTTAAATTTTCCTCATAGAAAAATGATATTGGGTCTAAATACACTTCCTTACCAGATGTTTATTTTTCAACGATATTGGGTATTATTTTTAATAATATTCTTAGGCTTTCTTGTCGACCAAACCTATAATTTTGACCATTTTGTTCATTGTTTAATGTAAATGTACGTTCATCGCTAAACAAAATGTTTTTAAAAATTGTCTACATTACCCCGTTCTACAATGTCATAACAAAATTTCGCGCGTCTATTAGCAACTCCATATCTTAGTTCTAGATGACAGAAATTCACGAACGGAATTTCTGTTCAAAAATTTTAAGGTCGTTGAATTATTAATGTCAAACTGATCTGCAATGGTTCGAGAACTTATTGTAGGATTTTCAACTCTTGCTATTAGTCTATTGATTTTTTAAATTTCTTGGTACCTTAGCAAGATTGTACATTTATAATTATGAATCATGGTCATCGTATTTAAAATTTTTTGAATATCTTCTGAATTGTTGAATGACTTGGAATTGTTTTGGACTGAGTATATTTAATCAATTTTATTGTTTTCTACAACAATAAAGCAATACAAATTTTGACAATTAATATCGTTATGATCAAACGCAACCCGTTATACACATCAGTGTATTACGTGTGACCTAACTTTTACGACAATATTTTGGCAAATGTATTATATTTTTGCAATCCGTAGAATAGTTTTAACATTTTGTTTTCAATGCAGATTTCAGTGCTCTACAAATAGTTTCCCATGCTTTTTGATGTAAAATAATTAAAGAAGCAGTAATTCAACAGTTAAGAATTTTCTATTGAGGTTCCTATGGCCCGTTTGACGATTCACCACCCGGTATAAAGAACTTCTTATACATATGCGTAGATATGTTATTTATTTCCTACTAACTTGTGCCATATGAAATTTTAAGGCCATTTTATTTTAACTTTTAAAAATAAACAATCCTAGGAGAATAATCTTAGTTTTGTTTAAATTTAAATTATGCAGTAACGTTTTTTATTATGTTGAGTTACTATTTGTGTAACTAGTATCATTAGTTGAATATAATCTCAAAATCTTTTGACTTACTATTTTTACTAGAAATAAACCACAATTTTAATTTAAAATAAGTTTATTTTGACGTTTCGATTTTCATTACGGAAATCGTTCCCAAAATACAAATTATTAATAAATTAAACAATTTTTGTTGGTTGTGACTTGTTAAAAAAATTCTTCGAATAATTTAATTTTATCTGGCTCATTCATAGTGGCAATTCAGTCATATATTATACATTTTAAAGTAGATGACTTTAAAATGATATTGTTAACTTTGGAACTTTATGAATTTTCATATTTTTTTTCCTCTAGATCCTGGAAGCAATCCTTTTCTTAAAGCAATGATCCGCCTTACTTTTTTGGTGATTCTTTATTGATTTTCTGGATATATCTCTTCATCTGTCTATTAGATGGATGTATTTCTGATCCCCATGAGCTGTCTTTGTTTTTTGTCCCAGAAGTTCTTATCTATGTTTTCTTCGAGGCTTGGAAAATAATAGATGTATCTGTAAGTCACTAGCCTCTGTCTGTCTTTTACACACACACAAATCACAATATACCTAATCATTATTTGGCTATATATTGTACCTACTTATGATTTTGTTTCTTTTTCTCTAGGAATATGGTCTTTTTGTTACTTAAAAGATATTTGCCTTAAGAACCAACATATAACATATAGATATTTGTTAATATACCTATTCGTAGGGAATAAATAACAATCTTATCAAAGTATTATAGATAACGAGTGGGGTTTTAAGATTTCAATTAAGTATGCTGCAAAACAAAAGTGACCGTGTTTCCAGAAACTCCTTAGTAATTACTTGGTCACCATTGATCTCAAAATTGGAAAATGTAAATGATCTGAACACGATTGTACAGAACCGCTAGTTCTTGTATCTAGGGAAAGATGGGTTTTTCTTTGTATATAGCTTTAGATTTGTAAATAATGACCAGCCATGACTTAGATATGTATGCTCAGTGTTGTGATAAGAACTCTGAAAACCTCTTTAATATTGAAGAATGTAGCGCAAAAGGTATTATGCGATCATTTTAGGCAAAACTCATTTTAGACAAGACTCCGCTGCATTGTTAAAGTTTTAATGTTTAATGTCGTATTTACGTTACAGATAAGTACCATAAGTCAAAAAGAGATTATTTATAAAATCCTGAGTCGTCAACATTGCGGCCCAAGAAAAAATTATTAATAGTTTAAAAACCAAACTGTCACATATATTGCGTCCCCACTTCTTACTACTCTCCTGGTTCGTGATTATGGTAGCCTTCTAATAGTTTAACCCTAAAAAAATTATCTTTTGAAATTTTTTATCTTATAAAGCAGCAATATTGACTTTAAATTTCAAGAAATTTTCAAAATTAATACTCGTAGTATATATTAGGCTACTACTACTCGTAGAAATTACATAAGTTCTAGTTTGTTCTGACGTTTCGTCTACAAATGTGACAGACATTAGCAGATACTATCGCTCGTATCAGTGAACGATACACAGTTACGACCATTACCGTAATTTTTTAATAATATCTGCTGCAGTTGCAGACGAAATATATATAAGTAGGAATTATAAGCCAGACCACAGTTTATAAACCCAGATACAACATGGACCATTACAAAACACCGTAGTCGAAAGCCTACATTTCTGGATCGTAAAGTTGCTTGGGCATTTTCCCCATATTTTCCTAATTATATTAGTTTTGGAATTTTACACGAACAAAGATGCGACAGGATAGAGTAATATTAATTTTTTTTGACTTATGAAACTTTTTCCACGGAAATGCGATATAAAAATGTGCAATAACTTAAAAATTCATAAAATATTATTTTTAGGTAATGGATAGGTTATAAGATTTCGATATTAAATATCCTTAAAATTATGAGAAACAAAATACTATGCTTTCAGAACTAAATGAACTTCCAGCTATTGTTTAAAAAATCGAAACTATCAATGCATAAACTCTTGAGATGTATTTAACAGTAAAAAAGTTTATATATTATGTATAAATGTATGTGTAGTTTATACCTCCCTGGCAGTCGTCTATATCCTTTATAGGTACCTACTTGTGTAATATTTATGGAATTGTTTGTTTTATTTTATAATTGGGCCACCATCATTTTTTTCTTCGCTCATTTTTGCTTCTATTTTTTACCTAAATTTTTATTAATATTGCTACTTTAAATAAATCTTAATTTATTTTTTTAACAGTTCTTTCTTATTTTTCTTTATAAATATGTAGTTGTTATAATGAAGCAACTTTAAGTTGTTTTTAAAACACAGTTCCATTGGTGGAATTTATTTTTAGGCATGATAATATTATAATATTGCTACTCGTCTCATTTTCATAGTGTTCTATAATAGTATATGATATTTCTATTATTTTTCAGATTTTTCACAACTTTTCTTGATTCCTCGTTCTTCTTATATTAGGCTGTAGGTCTAAAGGCTATAGTCGTATTTGTGACATTAACTGCCTGTCATCACTACAGCTTTTAAAGGTTCTGAAGCTATTTTCATGTGGCATGTTAATATAATT